GCAAGTATCTCATAATTTCTTCTGGATATATTATACCTACCACCTGATTTTATACAGTGGTGCCCCACTTGACGATTATCCCGGTAGACGACAAATCCGCTATATGATGAGTTTTTTTCAATCGCTATTGTGATTGCAAAACGATGATTCAAAGGGGTTTTTCGCTTAACGATGATCGGTTCGCTGCTTCAGGAACCAATTTTTCATTTAATGATGGTTTTAAAACAGCTGATCGGCGGGTCACAAAATGGCCACCCGCTGTGCAAAATGGCTCCCCACTGTGTTTAGGATGGATTCCTCGCTTTACAGGCACTGGAAAATGGCCGCCTTATGGAGGATCTTCGCTGGACAATGAAGTATTCCCCCCATTGGAATGCATTAACCGGTTTTTAATGCATTCTAATGAGTTTTTTACTTTCGCTTGATGACGATTTCGCTGTACAGCGATTTCGTTGGAACGGATTATCGTTGTCAAACGGGGCACCACTGTATTTGGAAAGAACACTGCAGCTGAAATCGTCCTGGTATTTGTGTAAGCTTTGCATGACTTGCTCTGGCCAACTGCTGTTAATTGATGACGTCCCATGGAAAATCTGTTTTGCAATTGGGTGAATAACGTGGAATGCAACTCAGATGCATCTCAGCATCCAGTTTCAATATTTTAATCTGGCTAATTGTTCCTAATTGATGGTGTCCTGGAAAATCTCAGTTGTGCCATAGTGTGAATAACCTGAAACACAACTCAGATACATCCCAGCACCCTGTCAATTAGCTGCAGCAAGTTACACACACTTTACAGGAACAGTGATAGTTTTCTGGCCTGAAAATACAAATGCACAGAAAATATTCCAGACACCTATTCTGGAGACTACAATATTTCAAAACACCGTATTTTAATAACCTTCTGTACAATTAACTCAAAGACACAGTTAACAGATCTGATAAATAAATAATCCTACACAAGGGAACACTGGTTTACAAATAGCTATACATACAATTCCACAAAATTTTAGTAGTGTTTGACTCCAAGTTTCATAACCTATAATAAAAATTTTGGCATACTGAAATAGCTGTACATATACTGTATTCTGTACATAATGCATTTAAAAATGAGCTTCAGATTAAGAATTTCATTTTTATTTTTATTTTTTGTTCATTTAATTACTTGGAAGGAAAGCTGGGCTAGACTAGATGGTACTTCTAGTTCCAATGTACTGCATGCATTTCTGATAAATGAGAAAAGAATAGATGACCTGGCAGAAGGCTCAGACAATAACATGTGATTTACAGGACATAAATGCAGCTACTATAAGATTTATCTGACAGCCCTCTACGATAGTGGACTGTTGAGTATCCGATGGAATGATTTCTAGTCTTGAAAGTCTACTACTGAGTAGCCATACACATTATTTATTTATTAGATGTTTTGGGTTGAAACCATTTTTAAATGATGCACTTCACAATACTCAGCCATAAATTTAGCTTTAAACTCTGGAGGGGAGGGGAGTGTTATTGGAATGTATGTCAGACTGAATTAGGATGAGCAACACAATGCTTTTATAAAGTGGCCTTGAATGCAAGGCTGATTCTTTCAAAAATGATATTAATGTCAAATAAGCAGGAACACTTTTCAGTGAATATTAAATGCAGAATTATTTTACACCGTTATAGATACAAAGTATCCAGTCTCAGGATTTGGTGTCTCCTAAAACTGCTTTTGGGTGTTAAGATACTTTTAGAGATTTTAAACAGAGTAAGCAATTTTGTTTTAAACAACCTCACACTTTGCACAGTTTGGAAGAAGAGAATGAAGCCACACTCAAAAAGACTAAATAGTTGGCAGCAAAATAATTGTAATTTTTACTGCACTATGATAAAAAAATTAAAAATACATTTTTATCTTCTGCAGCATTTTGAAAGGTAAAGCAAAGCTGATAGTAAATACATTTAAGGAAAATATTTATAATGATTAAGTATGTGTCACAAAAGGAATTAATCAGAGCAATGCTATAATTTAGCACCATGTCTGACAAATTTGTAAAGTTCTAAATCACACTTACAGATTTTCTTTGTAACTATACTGTATTATTTATGTGATTAAAAACTAGTTTTTGACCTGATCTTTCGATCTTTGGCATTCTATCCTCTCCATCTCTTCTTTAAAAAATTAATTAAAATTTTAGCAAGAGGGTCACTTCACTTCCCACCCCATCTTGGTCCCACAAAAAGAAAAGAATCAATCAAACTCAACTCCATCTCCTCCCAGTATCTATAAAATGTCGAGGTGAAATTCAATTTCATATCTCTCAAGTGTTCATGTAGCAACAGACAGTTTACCTCTTAAGAAAATAAATCACTTTTGTGATTGCCATACTGACCTCTCTGAATTAGGAAAATTCAGAGTGAAAAATGTAATTATCACACCAGATCAAATCCATATACATCTGGAGCTAATTTCAGCTCTATTTCTTTCACTAATTTTGCACAGTCTGCAAAATACTGTATCTATTCTTTATCTGGAAGTGTATTATCCCTTCCATGTAATGTTTTGTTTTGCTTCAACTTCATATTTCAAAACAATGTCCTTCATTGCTACCATCTCTACTAAGCCATCGTCATATCCTACATTTGATTAGATTATCATTAAATAGCACTGTGACATGTATGACAAATAGGCACATTAGAGCATGTAATTTACTCAATTTTAGATCACATCAGCACCTACACTATCCAATGTAGAGAGCCCTGACATAAGCAATAGTCAATTTACACTTTTTTTTAAGCAGAAGAAGAAAGCAGGAAAACAAACAGTATTAAAGTAAAGAATGGTTTAAGTTTTTTAAAAAAACAGTGCTAACCAGAACAATGTTCACATACAGAGCACTAGTATTCACAGGAAGATTTTAAATATATTTCAGTTGCCGTATCTGCATTTCCCTCAATCACGGGCATATTAGAAATGCTCCCTTAGAAAACAAGTATGTCTAATTAAAAACTCTAGTTATTTATTAAGTTAAACAGATTACTACAAAAACAAACCGAAAAAAGCACACACATTTTTCCTAGAAATAGAAACAGTGTCAACATGGTTCTGTCCATGTTACTGAATAATAAGCCTACTAGAACCATAACTGCTCTTCACTAGTTCATTGTACAAATCCATTAGGTATAATCTCCAGAAGTAATTGTTTTTATTGCACTTTATTGTCAATGCAAGTTATTGATTTTTCACACCTTCTATGATTCTTTCATTTGTATTCATGAAATGTCCATCAGCACAGCCTAAATACATTTGGCAATATAGGCACTAAAACGAATAAATCGATGTAAAAAAACATTAATTTTGCATTATCCTTATTCGTCAGGCGAGTAAACCATAAGGGTTTTAAAGGAAGGTCAAAGGTTTTGAATGGGTCAAAACCCTTGACCTCTAGACCAATAACCTTCCCATTAAAAAGGGCTATTTTAAAGTTTTAAGTAGGGGAATTTACTACCAGGAAGGTATCATTTTTAAAAAGCCAAAACAAAAAGCTCAGAAGAAACTTCATACATAATTACAATGGTGAAAAATAAGGGATGAGTAAAGCAGCTACTTGATCTACTACACACTATTATTTGTTGACAACTCTAATTTTTCAGATTAGATTTTCTGTTAATTTCAATTAAGTGAGACATTGTTTTTCAGAAAATCAGAAATCGCAAATTTCACAGATCAGAAAACCTGAAATAGCTGGCAACTATGACTTACTCTTTCTGCTCAAATACTTCAGATACATCAAGAACAATTTGCAAGGAGCACGGTGTATTTTATAGACTTTTTACAAATAAAAAAGGCTAAAACCCACCAATTACATTGGATTAGATCTAGGTGTCAGCTTAGAGTACACTTCTCAAAATCAATGACTCTTGAGACATGACTAACTTAAATGGCATTGCTTTGTATTTTATTCCACCATATTATACCACTACATTGAATCTATGTCAAAATCTTTATTTTATGAATTTATCTGTTCAATAAAAGCTGCAGGTATGCATATACTCCATCCCATTATTAAAATATTATTTTAAAAAGGAAAACTATAAAAATGAAACACTTGAGCTGAACACTTGCAATAGAAGCCTGAAAAGCATCCTTCCCCATTCTGGTACCCTTCATATGTATTGGACTATAACTCCAATCACTGTCAAAGCCTGAATATTGGCCTTGTTAGCTAGGGATGTTGGGGGCTGTAATCATCCGGAAGACAATAAGTTGGGGAAGTCTCTTGAAAAGCATTCATTTTCAGATGGTGGACATGATCCTCAACTGAGTTGTGCCTTAGTCCAGTAAGACTGATTTCACCAGCACCACCATTACCACTACCTTTCTGTTGTCTTTTTAAATAAAGATGTGAGGGAACATATATAGGAAAGTTAGAAGAGGCAGACAAAAATATACAAAAAAAATTAGAAGTAGGTCTTATGTTACAAGGTTAAAGGGTGGGTCCAAAAAGATCAGTAACATACGCTCTGAACATAATTTATGGATTCTAGTAAAGATATCTATCTATCTATCTATCTATCTATCTATCTATCTATCTATCTATCTATCTATCTATCTATCTATCTATCTATCTATCTATCTATCTATCTATCTATCCACCCACCCTGTTTCCCCAAAAATAAGACCTAGCATGATTTTTCAGGATGCTCGTAATATAAGCCCTACCCCAAAAATAAGGCGCAGTTAAGTGAAACCCCGCCCTCCATCATTATGCAGCAATCAGAAGATGACATGACTGTATCTGAATAAATGTAGATTGTTGTACATGAAAAAATAAAACATCCCCTGAAAATAAGCCCTAATGCGTTTTTGATATATTAAAAATTATATTAAAATTTGATATATTATAAAGTATATTAAAAATTAATATACAATCCTATCTTATTTTCGGGAAAACACAGTATCTATCAAATACACTGTGTGTGTATACGGATGACACACAACTCATGTAACTCACCTGAGAACAAAGCAGCATGACCAACTCCACAACAGAACTGCTAGATTTCATGCACACAAGACCTAAAGGATAAGGAGGGGGAAAATCAAACTTGCTGATCTATTTTTTGTCACTCGTGTATTTTGTATTTTTTGGCAGCTAGTGAACATTCCACCTCAAATTCAGTTTTGCTATGATTCATGTCAATGGAACAAAAAATTGTACAAGTTCAGTTTGCTTTAGCATTCAAACTGGTAATACGGCAGTATAAAATGAGTTGAAAGCAGGTGCCATTTTTATCACTTAGTCTTGATATAAAATTATGTCTTGATGCTATTTAACTTGCATTACACAAATATTTGCATTTCAAGTTAATAAAAGCGTACATAGCATATGGTATATTGATTTATACTACTTACATTTCTTCACCTTGGAGTGGATTGATCATTATATATGCAGAGAAGGGAAATGGCTCTATGACCTTTGCTTTCTCCATTGAGCTCTCTCCCTTCAGCCCTCCAGCTATCAATCAAGTTTCCATTTTGTTTCATGGCAGCAGACATCTCAAACACTCTTATTAGTACTTTGACCCTTGACCCTCACCTAAACCTTGTGGGGAGGGGAGTGTAAGCAGTAACCTATGCATTTGTGATTAGTATATAAACTAATTTGGTTATTACTAGCTATTCACACTTCTTTCTATTTCCCTCTTATAACATGTAATCATGGCCTAAGATGATGGAGGCTCTTCTCGCTAGCTTGTGTTTCAGTATATGAAAACCAATATGCTGCTTCTATTGGGGATCAATTAATACTAAAAGCAGTATTACGAACCCAGAAATGTCAGACATTTAGTAGATTAGAAAAACATACAAGCCAGCATCCTGTTGTGAAAAATCACATTTGTAATGGCAATTGTGCTAGGCGATTTTTCTGCTTCCCAGCTGGCTGTCACATGATCAATTGTTCAATCAAAAGCAACTGGGCCAGCAACACAAAGCCTAGAAAACAGCACATTCTCCTTGTGCAAATGCCCATCTATATTCTATGACTGCTACAGGATGGTAGCCAAGACAGCACAGTGAAAATTACAATTAGACATTTCACTCATTCTCTTAAGTAGTTACAAAAATACAGGTCCCACTACAACCACCATTCCTAAAACTTTTCAACCAGAACCTATTGACTCAATGCATTGCAATATAATCTGCCCATCTGTTCCAGCTCACTGGAATACGTTTTCCAATTTTCAAAAGACAACTCTGTAAAAGTTTTATCATTAGTGCTAGAAATAATTCCTGGAATTTGGTTGACAGCCAGGTATTTATCCTTGAAATAAATACAAAACAGTGTTTTGGGAATTTTAAATAAATCTAATTAATGTAAATCTACAGACTGAGAAAGTTATATGTCATACATTCATTAATCCTTCTGAGTCATTCTATAGACAAAGCATGAAGAATACAAATTGTTATGTAATAAAACAAAATAAAAATAAATTAGTGGACATCTTTGAAACATATTAATCATGTAAGATGAATATGTACAAGTGGTGTCTTAAAAATACTGATCTGCTCTTAGTTAAATAATCACTTCATCATTTGTGAAATGCCTTAAAAAACAGAAAAAATGAATGGATCACTCTTTTTTATGATCAGATTGTGTTCCTAAACTCTTTCATCAAAGAGAGAGACATTCACTCAGCATCCAGATGCTTTCTTCTATTATCCAGACCTTTCTATTGGACTCTATTTCCTTAACCTGGTCTCCTTTCAAACAAGAGAACCAGAACCCTCTATTAGGAAACTACAAAACTGAGTAAAGTGACTACATGAGGAGAGGTAACGTGCAAGCCTCCTCCATAATTTACATTAGCTTTACACATGACTGTGAAACAGGAGAACCTCCTGCATCTACAAAAGCTCTCTCATCACAGTTTGACCATTCATCTTCCATAATGGGATGGTTCTAGCAGAGTTCCCCCATAATTTCACCCAGTTTATTTTATTTATTTATTTATTTA